CCTTCCCCCGCCATCTTGTATGTACACCCAAGGGTGCTGCCTTTGGGAGGCAGAATTGGGGGCTCCTCCCCTGGGAGGCAGGGCTGAGAAGGAACTGCAGGCACCCGTGTTGTTCTGCTTTCTCATTCTGTCACTGAGCCTCTGTGGTCCCTCCATCTCCTCATCAATACAACGAGGACATTGCCACCTGCTCAGGTGACTTCCCAGGCCGGTGTGAGAGAGAAATGGAACCATATGTGAGCCCTTTACGGAGGCAGAGAGGCCTGCCACATTGGTGTCACCACTCGATGACTTTCATAGGACGAGGCTGGGAGGAAGGACAGACGGCTAGGACAGTGGCGCTGACAGTGGCGGTGACTGACAGGCAAGTGGCAGGACCTGGAGATTTCTGCAGCCTTTTCAGGGGGCTGCCTTTGGACCAAACTTAAAGCTTTCCATTTTACTCTTCTGGTTTAAATGTACAGAGAGAGCTGGTGACAGGTTCCACGCTGCCTTTCTTTCTTTTGTGCTGTGATGTTGACGTTTACTCACGCATTCTCCTTTGGGACAGCTAAACAAAGGACAGCATGTTAGGAATGGGAGAAACATGTCTGTACTGCTTCAGGGGAAATGCAGGCTTCAGTTCCGTTGGTGGCTGAGCCTTGGGTACCTGAGCAGGCATCAGCCTTGGCTTTGCCAGGTCTCGGCAGAGCCACATGCTGCCCATAGAGTGCCCAACCTTGGACCATTCCAGCTCTCGTGAGGCTGTCAGGTGCCTTCCCCACATCTCCAGTCCCTGGTTCTGAAGAGTGGGTGTCACTCCGGGCTCTGAGGGGCAGAGAGCTGGGATTCAAAACAGAAGCTTTCTATCGCACTCTGTCCTTGGGTCTCACCTCTGGCAGAAGCTAGGGAAACGTGACTCCAGCCCAACCCTAGATGTGCTGCATGTGGCTTCGTCCTGTGGGGGGCGCTGTGCTGCTCTGTGCCGTGGGGAGCCGTGCCCTGCCATATTTGGAACTCTGGCCTTGGAGAGGAAAAAATTTCCATGGTTTAAAGCTAACCCCAGCTTGAGGATTTATTACCTATGTCAGCAGAGATCAGAGATGGCTGGACGTTGGCACCTGAGCGTCGGCAGAGGGGACACAGAAGGACAGGCAGCCTTGCTAAGCTAAAGACCCCAGAACATTCTTAAAAAGCCGTGGCCTGCAGTACTTTGGGATGGGGCTGCCTTGTGTCCATCCGGACTCCAGTAAGGCTGCCATGGGGTGCAGCAATTTCACTGACCCAGAAAGAAAGAGATTGGAGCGGCCCCATTTGTACCCTCCCAGGTCTGTCTTGGACTTTACTCTCAGAGATCAGCTGGAAGATTTCATTAGAAATCAAAGAGTTGCTCTTTGATTTTTTTTTTTTTTTTAAAGAAACACGCTTGACTGCTGCCACTGGTGTCCCAGCCTTCTATAATGAGTTAGGCGACAAGAGTCCTTGAAAAGAGAGTTTGAACTGATCAATGGCATTTGGGGGTTGGAAAATGCTCAGGAGCCAGCTAATTTATAATGTCATATGGGCTAGACTGGAAGACCCAAGAGGATAAGCTGTCTGTTGGTTTTCTATTTCATCCTTTTTTTTAAAGAAGGAGAGAGAAAGCACAAGGTGCCACATTTGGCTGGTGAGTCCTCAGAGGACCCCTTAGGCCCTCAGCAGACTGAGGCAGGACCTTCTGCCTTAGCTCCTTTCGTCCCGAAGACCTCAGCAGCTGCCCCACGCCTGCCTTCTATCCTGTCACTCAGATGCCCGATCCTGCAGTAGCCAATTCCAGCGCTGGCTAATTTGCAAGGGACACCTGTTCCTTAATTAGCCTCAGCTCAAGGTCTGCATCTTCATCTGGGCTCCTCTGATGAGCCCACCAAAGAGCTGCAGTCGAGCAGTCTGAGCGTACTGGCTGCCTCCTCCAGGTAGGGCAGCCAGTCTGTGCTCCTGAGCATTACAAGGAGAAGGGACCACCCCCCCCCCCCCCCCGCGTCACCGTCCAGTGGGGGGGTAGCAGAGCTGAGGCTATGGGAACTGGGCCTACCAGTTTGCACTATGAAATCAGACCTGCTGTCCCCAACACAAAGTGGGGGCAAACCCTCGTTTGGACGACCAGATGCCTGTGCCTGTGGCTTGTTGTAAATGTTGGCACCTTACAAACGCTTCTCTTTCTAGGTGTGTGTGCTTGGTCTCCTTGCAAGAATGCCCTCAGGGTTAGGATTTGGTGCCAAAGGTCCTTCTTGTCTGAAATCTTTGCAAACGTACACTGAGGAGGAGGAAGATGGAGCTGGGGCTAATTAGAAAGCTGAGCTGTGCAGGGGCAGGATTCTCTACTGCCCTGGAAAATCATTCTGCTGCCCCCACCCTGCTTTTATGCAGTGGAACCTTCTAAGCAGAGATCTTCGGGAGGTTCCTGAGATCTGATCTCCCTTCTAAGTCTCCCCAAGAGTCTTGGCTCCCACACAGCTGGAATACTGTGTTTTTACCTGTTAAGGTGACTGAGTCTGATCTGTGTTTCCGTTCCTAGGTCAGAGGTGAATCGTCCACCAGCGAGGTGGGGCGGGGCAGGGCAGGGCAGGGAGAAGAAGCACTAACATATAACTGCAGGCTTCAGTTACTTGGAAATTTGTGGCAAGTGGCTTTGTATTTATTCTTCCACCTGACATCTCCTTCTCCATCCTTCAAAAGAGAAATTCATCAGTGGAAAGTTTCCCTCAAGTGGTAATTTTCCTAAATGACTTACCGGTGGTGCTGCATACAGACTAGCTTGGCCAGAGGGGGTGGCTGTGAATGCATTAGATCCTGTATCCCGCGTCCCAGCTTCACGGCCCACTGGGTAGCTGCCCTTGCTTTTGCTGTGAATCCCTTCTTCTGCCTTCCCTGGTCACCCCAACCTAACAAACCTCCCCCCCCCCCCCGAAGGGCTGGTTCTGAGGTCCCTAGCAGAAAGCTCTCCTTTCCAGAAATCTCCCAGCCCTGGTGACCGGCCTGCCTTCGCCCACCCCAGCTAATTAGAGCCTTTCCTTCAGCGGCACTCTTCCGTCACTCATTCTCACAGTGATAATGGACTTGGAGAAGAGGTCAAAGCCTCTCCCACATCCTGCTCTCCTTGAGGAAGTGGGGGGGACTGGGCGGGCTCACCCCTCATTCTGCAGGGCTGGGAGCTCCCTCCCGCCTGCCACAGACACAGCTTCCAGGCTCAGCAGCTGGGGTAGTCACCCACTCGCTCGCGGGGCCAGAGCGCACGTCCCCATGGTGGGCCCCTCTTTCCACTCAGGTTTCAGCACCTTCTGTTGCATCTCTGGTGACTGTCATTAGCATTAACGTGATAAAATGGTGCAGTGTAAATGTTAATAAGGTCTGATGCCTCGCCTGCTTCCGAGTGGCAGATTGGAAATGGTGCCATCATCTTACCTCCAACGAGCAGCTTTTAATTCCTCTGCTCCCTGAGCAGCCAATTTGGCATGGAAAACCCAGCTGCCCCCTGCTACTCCGGCTCTACTGCAAGCAGGGTCCGCATCTCCCACACACCAGTTGTCTAAGATGAGGCTTAACTCTGTGTGTGTCTATGTGTCTGTGCGTCTATGTGCACACACACACCAATTCTGGGACTTGAACTCAGGGCCTGAGCACTGTCCCTGAGCTTTTTTTCTAAAGGCTATCTCTCTACCACTTGAGCTACAACACCACTTGTGGCTTTTCACTGATTAACTAGAGATGAGAGTTTCATGGACCTTTAGACTCTTCCGTCCAATTAACCACCAAAAAAACAGTCAGAAGTAGAGCTGTGGCTCAAGTGGTAGAGCTGTAGCCTTGAGCAGAAAAGCTCAGAGACAGCATCCAGATCCTGAGTTCAGTCCCCAAGACCAATCTACACACATGTGTAAACGCGTGTGCGTGCGCACGCACACACACACACACACTATTTCATGGGCTTTTCTGTCCAGGCTGGCTTTAAACTGTGAGCCTCAGATCTTAGCCTCCTGAGTAGCTAGGATTACAGTCGTGAGCCACTGACACCCAGCAACTTTTTTTTTTTTTTTAAGTAAATACTTTGACCTATTCTCCAGAGAAAGCACTGAGGAGGACCGGTGCTCTAGGCACCCACCCTCTGACCTGCTTCCTCCACGGCTCAGACTTTTCCACCCCTAGTTTTTCTGCAGGTGGTACTTGTTCTTATGAATTCAGGTGGTTTGGGAATAGGTAGTCCTTCGGGGCTGGTTCTTGCTCTCCAGACTTCCTTGTGAGCTGATTCTCGGCTGAACAATGATGTCCTGATAAATCCTCTCCTCCACGCCCTTCAGAAGGGGCACCTCTCATCGGCCTGCCTCACAGAGGGCCTGCGTCCCCTGTGCGCCCAGTGCTCCTTGTCCTTTCTTCACAGCAACAGTGAGGGCTGGTTCCTTGTTCTGTCCTCTTCTTTCTGTCACTTTGTACCGATCCCACGTGGAACTGAGGGGCACAGGACGGAGTGGGCAGGGTGCCCAGGGCAGTGCTTAGGCCTTGCCTAGAAGTGCAGGAGCACTGGGTGCTGGTGCCTCATACCTGTAATCCCAGCTACTCCAAGAGGCCGAGATCCGAGGATCATGATTTGAATCCAGCCCTGACAAGAAAGCCCATGAAACTCTTGTCTCCAGTCAACAAGCAAAAGGAGCTGTGACTCAAATGATAGAGTGTCAGCTTTGAATGACAAAGCTAATGGGTAGTGCCCAGACGCTGAGTTCAAACCCCCCCCCCAAAAAAAAAAAAGGAAGGAAGGAAAAGAAAGGGAAAGGAAGGAAGGAAACCATACAGGATCTGGGGCTCTGGTCTTCTCCACACCCCTGGTAATTGGGCCTTACTCCCCCAGTGATGCACTCAGACCCCAGGGAGCCTCTGCCAGTGCCAGCCTGCACGTGGGCTAGGTTTGGCCCTGGCTGGGAGCACGGACTAGGTGTGTGCTCTCTCGTCCTCTATGAGGGACCTACCTTCCTCACTGCTGCTTTCACCCGCAGGCTGTCTTCACACTCTTCCTTGGACCATTCACCTTCTTTGACGTCCAGAAGACCAAGTACCTGCAGATCCTGACCTCCCTGATGAGATGGATTGGTGAGTCTGAGAAACATCCGAACTCTGCCCTTCTCCCTCACCCCATCCCTCCCTCCACCTCTTCTGCGAGGCGGCGCTGGGGAGGAGGCGTCCCCTGCCGGAGTCTGCCCCAGACCTCCGACCTTCCCACAGGACACAGGAGGGCACAGTGCCCCGTGTGCCTTTTACTACGCAAGAACTTCAGCACCAACAAAAGACAAATGACTTGGTTTTTCTTTTGAAGTTGTGTTGGGTAGATGGAGTTGGGCTGGGACCTGGACTGCTAATTCTGGAGCTAGCCTGCTTCCCAGGACCAGGCTGACAGTGGGCTCCTGGAGGCCTGGGTCGGGCTGTGCCCCTGGAGACAGGAATGGCACCATTCTGCCTTCCCGTCGGGGCGCAGTGCAGCACAGCCATAAAATCCAGCAGCCTGTGGCACAGCCACTCTTCCCCTCTGAGTCCCAGACCACTGGAGTATGACAAGACACGTGTCCACCGTGGCTCTAACTAACTAGGGCCTGCTGTGCTCCCAGCTGGAGCCAGTTAGCGGGAGGGAACCTGTTCGCTTCCACCATGTCATCCCCCACCAGCCAGCTCAGGAAAGGGGCCGCTGATGACGCCCTGGCCCAAGGACAGTGTGGGTTCTGGGCATCCATTGGATCTTTGTTTTACTTCATTGAAAAGCAAAAAGGGGACAGGAGGTGGAGCTCAGGGGCAAAAAAAAAAAAAGAAAAATCTCGCCTAGCGTAGAGGCCCTGGGTTTGATCACCAGCACCACCAAAACCCAAAAAGGACTGTTGCTGTTCTGATTACCAGCCCTGGGCTGTTGGCTGTGCCAGCCTCCCTGAGCTACCTCACCCCCTGCTGGACGTTCTAGAGGAATCTAGACATTCCCAGATAAGGATAACTATCAGCTTCTAGAGCAGCCCTGTGCCTGTTGACTGTGACAGTCCGCTCTTGTCTGACAAGTAATACGTCCATCTAAAGGAAGAAGCTTACGAAGGGGCAAGAAGGAGCTGACAGTAAATACAAGTTACACAAGCACCCAGACCTGGGTCAGGAGAGCAGCCAGCAGGCCTAGGTCCTGGGATGTGGCTGCCGGTAGTCCCTGCTCCCTGTCGGTTTTCTCATTCTCCAGAGTCTGGTTGAAAGCCAGGTGTGATGACTCACGCCTGTAATCCCAGCACTCAGGGGCAGGAGGATCATGAGTTGGGGACTAGCCTGGGCTACCTAGTGAGATGCTGTCTCAGAACAAAATATCTGGCTCTCCAAGTGGAGTCTGTCCTGGATAACCCCTGCCGTGCTGCGGAGCTGGGGAACAGAGCCCCTGAAAGGCTTTGGGCAGCAATGGGACCCTGGATCAGAGTCCGGTGTGTAAAGGTCACGGTTACCTGTCTTCTGGTGGCAGTGCTGCCGTCTTTGTGGCCATTTGCTTATCCTCCACCTTGGATCTGAGCGATAGTGAAATGTCAGGAGTTGGAGGGAACTGCTCTATGTGACAGCGAACAGGCCGTCATTTTTCTCCATGGGAGAGTCAGACCTCTGGGCTTGCAGCAGACCTCCTGGTGACAGAGCCCACCCAAGATGAAGGAGAACTGCCGTCAAGTAAAGTAGACCAGAGTAAGCCGAGTGTCAGCTCCCAGCAGAGCAGTGGAGCCTCCTGGGGATTTCTCCCAGGCTGCAGTCCTAACCCCAGGCTGCCGCAGATCTGGAGCAAGAGGACAGAGGTGCTGCCGTCCCCTGGAGCGGTCAAGCAGTGCCCAATGGGCAGCCCTATCTATGGGAGGGACTGTCTGCCCAATGGTCTCAAGCCAACTCAGAACAGAGGTTGGGCCCCGCTGTGAGGGTATCTCTTCTCTGGGCCAAGCTCACCCCAGGCAGTTTTTCTAGAACTCCATAGGGGCAGTGATCTCAGAAGCCCCATTTGTCCCTTCAGGTCTCTGCCAAGTTGTCAGATTACAGCACACTCCCTTTTCATCTCGCTTTTGAAGAGCAGCTGTGTGGTCCCTCCCTGCTGGACCCTCGCTCCCACACCCGCCTGCTGCATACCCTTCCAATTCCCGCTTCCAAGATGAGGGCTGTGCCTTTCCAAGAGCCCAGGGGGGTGGAGGGGGGGCGGGCTCAGGGTGGCAATAAGCTGGTTTGGGTTCCAGGAAGACAGAGAAAGAACGAGCACCAAAGGGACTGGAGAATCGTGCATAAATGTGCTGAGCCGGAAACTTTCCCGTGCTTAATTAGAAATTCGTTCTGCCATCTGTTGAAATGAGGCCAGGGGAGATCGCAGGCTCCAGAGCTTTGCTGCGGTGCTCTGGCCAGCTCCTCTGGGAGCTTTTACTCTGTCCTTCCCGCGCCTGAGAGCCGAGGTCCCCACACCGCCTCACAGTGTCAGAATTGGGCTTGTGGTTGTTCACTTGTTGTTTGTTTGTTCGTATTTTCAGAGTGTGATTTAAAGGGTTAAATGGCCTTTGAAAATAGCCATTTGCCAGGGAAGATGTCAGACAATGGATGACCAGTGTCGATGGATCAATTGGTTTCTTATGTGCCCCTAGTGAGTTCTGGGGACAAGAGGGTGGTCAGTTTGGGATTCCTGAATCGTGAATACCTCCGAGTTCAGGTGTACGAGAAGAACCTTGGTTAGCTGTCCACAAGCAAGGCTGTCCGGCCTTAGCAGACCTTCCAGCCAACCCCTTAGTCTTCCGATTGCTATCTCGAGATGATCGCTTCAGATCAGCTGCATGTAGGATCTGAGCCCAGGACCCTGACCTGGCAGCTGGCTTGCACCCCTCGTCCTGTTCCTTTTGAGGTGGGTCAAACAAATGTGGGCTCCGGCAGCACACAGGCCAACAACCCAGCATCCCTCCGCCACACCCCTCGCCTCCCACAGGCTGTAAAAATGCAATGAGAACACGCAGAAAGTGCTGTTGGCACTGTTCCTGGTGCCAGGTGAGCGTGCAGTGGCGAGCGGCAGTGAGCGGCACCCCATTGTTGCCCTAGCCAGCCACTGCCTACTCCTGACAGTGGCCTCAGAATAAGCCATGAACACCAGACACCAGTGGCTCACACCTGTAACCCTATCTACTCAGGAGGCTGAGATCTGAGGATCAGAGTTCAAAGCCAGCCTAGGCAGGAAAGTTCATGAGACTCATTGCCAGTGAACCACCAGAAAACCAGAAGTAGAACTGTGATGGTAGAGCGCCAGAGTTGAGAAAAAAAGCTCGGGGACAGAAGAGAAAGAGGAGGAGGAAAAGAAGAAAGGAAGAGAGGAAGGAAGGAGGGAGGAAGGGAAGGAGGGAGGGAGGGAGGAAAGGAGGGAGGGACGGAGGGAGGGAAGGAGAAAGTGGTGAGATTAGGGGAACAACCTCAGCCATGTCCAGAAAGAGTGAGCGATCTGCGTAGCCTCCCTCACCATCTCCGTCTCCGTCCCAGCTCTGGCTCATCCTTGCACCCAGCCTCCACCCTCACACCTTCAAGGAAACTCAGCCTAAGAGAAATGAGAAGTAAGCTCCTGGAGGAGGGCAGAGGCCTCTTGGGTCCTAGCTCTATGTCAAGCAGCAGGTGGCCCAGAAACACAGGAGAGGGGCACCCCACAGGCCCAGCTGCCGTGGCCTGAGATCTTGGGCCTTAAGCCATGAGACTCAAGCCTGCCGGCAGCTTCCATACTGGCTGCCCCATGGAGAGCTCTCAGGCTGGAAGGGGCCACGGTGGCCTTCCTCCTTCCGTCCCATTACCACTTCCCCCCGGCAGATGCTTCCCGCTTGGGAACACAAGCAGCTGGCTAAGCTCAGCGCGCCCCATTTGGCGTTATTAAAAACCCAAGTCTTTCTAATAAAGGCTGCTGCGGCGCACGCTGCCGCCCTCAGGGTTGGCTGCCGAGAGCCCGCAGGGTTTCCTTGCCTTGCTTGTGTATGCGGAGCAGACACGCGCGCGCTCAGTCTCTGTTCTCCTCAAAGTGGGTCAGACGCCGTCCTCCCCGGACGTCGGTGGAGGAGCTGGCGCTGCCGCGGGAAGTGGCTCGGTCCTGCTCCACCCCCCCCACACACACCCTGGCCCCCACAAGTGCCCCAGATTGCTTTCAAAAGCCAGAGGTGGGGGTGGGGACCCGGGGGAGCAGGAGGTCCACAAGAGGAGACCTTCACCTGGGAAGAGGAGGGCTTTCTGGGTTTCACCCGTCCCCGGGTCCATGTCTGGTCTCTGTGGGAATCCCAATCTGTCGCTCTCCACAGCCAGGGGTCTTGTGAGCCATCTGTTGCCCACCCTGCCAGTTGGCATTTAAATTCTTCCACAGCGACTCCTCCACTAGTGCCTCCTGGAGACCCAGGAAGGACCTTGTCACCCCAAATGTAGATGGCACTCCCCGACCCCCTGTCCCCATCACCGCGCAGCCAGCCCTCCTGTGCTGACCCTTCTGTCCCCTCTGCCTCACCTCCCGCCCCTACTGCTGCCCCCGCCCTTTAGGTCACTCTCCAGGGCTTTCTGGAAGCTAGCCACTCTTCAGGGTCCAGAAGAAATCCAGAAAAACCTTTTGTGTATGTTCCATTGTGGTCTCCACTTTATTCTCGGTTTAAAGGGAAGTTTATAGAGCAGAGCCCAGGGCGTCTGTCCTAGGGCTGCTCATCTTTGCTGGAGAAGAGACAGCCACAGGCGATCGCCCGCGAATGACCAGAGGACTGGGCTGAGCACCGAGCGAAGGAAGCTTTTGTTCTCTGGGCGGCTTCTCTCCTCTGAGTTGGCCGAGTGGTCGGCAATTCCGCCGTGCTTATGGCCCAGACCCCTGCAGATCCAGCCACCAGATGAGTGCTGTCTCCCCCCGGGGTGTTGGCAGACTGGCTGCCTGGGCACTAGGGGGCAGGGAGGGCAGGTTTCGGATCGCAGCATCGGGGCTAATAGTAGCTGCCCACATGACCTCTAGACAGGGTTGGGGCTCACACTAATGGCCTTGAAGCTGTCTGGTAGTCATACACAGGCATGCACACACACACACACACACACACACACACACACACACACACACACAGCTGGCT